GGTAAACATTGGTTTGGAAATGGAGTAGTAGACGAGTGGAACAAGTTACCAAATATCATCATTAACTCGAATACGCTGGATAGCTTCAAACATAGGTTGGATGGATATATGAGCAATAAGGGTTGGAAGTAAATGGGAGTTCCCAGTATGGGCCAATAGGCCCTCTGCAGTTTCCTCCATTCTTATGTTCTTATTACTACCTGTAGTATGTATGGGTCCATGACAAAATCCCCACAGGACAAAATCCCTGCGGACAAAAACCCCGCGAACTGAAACCCCCCGGACAAAAACCTCACAGGACATAAACCCCACCCTACCGCATAAAAAACCCGCCGGTCAAAACGCACAACGGACAAAATCCTCTCATAGTAAAATATAAAACAAAATCTATTTAAAGTTTATAATTGCAAACATTATGAAATGTATTTATATGATCAAGAATAAATTAAAACTATATCAGCAACAACATTTATCTCATGGTAAAGAAAAAAATAAGACAAAATCTAATTGGAGTTTTTATTAACTTCTTACAAATCCACTTTGACAATATCTCTTACTAAGACGATGTATGGACCAAATGAAGTGTACTTTACGTTATACTGGACTACAGTCATATAAGCGTCGGATGGTCAAAGTGGTGCCACTTTGCAGCGTGGAAGTTCTGTAGTCGACTTATACAGTATAAAAAAAAAAATATATATATATATATATATATATATATATATATACTTCATTTTTAGTCCATATAACATGCGGACTTTGAACATATAATCAACAACCTCACCAGCAAGGAATCGAACCCTCGACCTACTGGGTGTGACTAGGGAACGCTTACCGGCTAGGCCACAAGGACACTAAAAGCAGTTCTAGACGCTGTTATATTTCACACAAAGCCTGTTCATCGAGCTGATGGCGCCGTGAACCTCATTGGGAAACTGCCCGTGCCTCTTATGTGGTGTCAGTAGCATTTTACCGAATCCAGCTGGTATGAAACGCGAGGTACATATATATACTTCATTTTTAGTCCATATAACACGCGGACTTTGAACATATAATCAACGACCTCACCAGCAAGGAATCGAACCCTCGACCTACTGGGTGTGACTAGGGAACGCTTACCGGCTAGGCCACAAGGACACTAAAAGCAGTTCTAGACTCTGTTATATTTCACACAAAGGCCTGTTCATCGAGCTGATGGCGCCGTGAACCTCAATGGGAAACTGCCCGTGCCTCTTATGTGGTGTCAGTAGCATTTTACCGAATCCAGCTGGTATGAAACGCGAGGTACATATATATACTTCATTTTTAGTCCATATAACACGCGGACTTTGAACATATAATCAACGACCTCACCAGCAAGGAATCGAACCCTCGACCTACTGGGTGTGACTAGGGAACGCTTACCGGCTAGGCCACAAGGACACTAAAAGCAGTTCTAGACTCTGTTATATTTCACACAAAGCCTGTTCATCGAGCTGATGGCGCCGTGAACCTCATTGGGAAACTGCCCGTGCCTCTTATGTGGTGTCAGTAGCATTTTACCGAATCCAGCTGGTATGAAACGCGAGGTACATATATATACTTCATTTTTAGTCCATATAACACGCGGACTTTGAACATATAATCAACAACCTCACCAGCAAGGAATCGAACCCTCGACCTACTGGGTGTGACTAGGGAACGCTTACCGGCTAGGCCACAAGGACACTAAAAGCAGTTCTAGACTCTGTTATATTTCACACAAAGCCTGTTCATCGAGCTGATGGCGCCGTGAACCTCATTGGGAAACTGCCCGTGCCTCTTATGTGGTGTCAGTAGCATTTTACCGAATCCAGCTGGTATGAAACGCGAGTACATATATATACTTCATTTTAGTCCATAGCAACACGCACGGACTTTGATTCGGTAAAATGCTACTGACGCCACGCAGAAAAACGCAACAGGCATTCAATAACCATCCTTTCGATATTTTAATGAAATAAGCGGCGTCTGGCTGTCGCGGCAGCAGCCAGCGACTACAATCGCACCAGTAGAGCCGGGGAATTGTGAGCCATTGACCGCTGTTCCGAAAGTCGCGTATGGACTGAAAGCGAAGTATATGTACACTCGCGTTCGCACCGGCGAATTCATTAGTGACACCATGAACATTATTCGATAGTATTGTGGTACTAACGGCGTCACAAACTGTCGCCAATGACGCTTGATAGCTAATTGTGGTCGGGATTCATTCAGTGATATATATATATATATATATATATATATATATATGTGTGTGTGTGTGTGTGCAAAGGAGGAGGTTGTATGAATATCAATATCGCGGATGTACAACAAATGATTGATGTAATTAAAAAATAAGGTATTGATTATTACATATACACGTATGTAACAGGTATATGTGTATTTATATTTTTTGTGTTCGTATAACCTTCACTTCATATTGTTATTTGTAAGAAATTGTTAAAAACTGTAAATAAGTTTCTTTTATTTTCTACCATGAGATAAATATTGAGGCTTAAATAGAGCTTTATTTATTTTTTCTTCCATATATCCTACGCTTCATAATGTTCCATACATACATTGGCTTAGTAAGAGATAAAATCAAAGTGGATTTGTAAGAATATTATTGAAAACGTTCGCGATTATGAACATTAAATAGATGTTGTTTTAGTTTTTACTATGAGGGGATTTTGTCAGTTGTGGGTTTTGTCCGTTGTAGGGTTTTGTCCGGTAGGGTGAGGTTTATGTTCGATGGGGTTTTTGGTTCGGTGTGCTTTTTGTCCGCGGGGTTATTGTCCGCGGGTTTTTGTCCTAGGGGATTTTATCCTTATCCCGGTATGGGTGTGTAAAACACCCAACAGTAGTATATAAAGGTACAAACACCAGTGTAAATGTATATAAACAAACATCTACTGCCAGCATATAAGCATCCAAACAAACATCCACTACCAGTATTTAAGGGTATAAAGTTATAAACAAACATCCACTACCAGTAAAAAGTATACTAATAAACATCTATTACCAATATATAGGTGAACAAACACCCATTATCAGTATATAAACATACAAACAAACACCTACTACTCGTACTGTATATAAGTATTCCAGCATCTATTGCCAGTACCGGTATATACGTAAGTGCACAAACACCCACTATTAATATATAAATATACAAACATTCATTATGAATATACACTACAATATACAGTGTATGTATATAAGTATAAATCCCCCACTATCAATATATAAATACAGAAACAAACATCCATTATCAATATACAGTTCAGGTATATAAGTATATAAAACCCCCACTATCAATTTATAAATACAGAAACAAACAAACGGTATAAGTATCAAACAACCACTACCAATATATAAGTATACAACGAACACCCATTACCAGTATGTACAGAATGTGTACATTTTAGTATAAACACATGTAAAACTAGAAGCTGGATCCATATGCATGAAAATGTGCGTAGTTTAGTGAGAATAATAATTATATTTAAAAACTGAAATAAAATACATTCTAGTATTACCCAACCTTAAGCAACTCTTCAAAGAGAACACCTGAAGATTGACCACCAGTTGCTTATTTCACCTTAAGATTAACCACCCTAACACTATTTGGGGGATGAGGTTAGGTAAGAATTAGGATCACCTTAGCTAACGGTTAGACAGTTTTTATGACTGCCCTGAATATAATTAAGTCATGGTGGGAACACAAGTCCAAAAACCTGAGGGCAAACTTTTCTGAGTCTTCTGACGGCATCAAGTGTGAGCTCTTTCAAGACCAGATAGTTACAGTCAGCAACCAGTGCATGCCCAGTACTTGCCAACAGTGCGTTACTAGAAACATGACCGCCCGCCCGAACTGCTAACGAGCCGATCGGTGGCGAAGAGGTTAAAAAGGTAAAAGTACTTCAGGTGAATTAAATCTCTAATTTGATGTCTGAGTGTTATGCATGTTCTTGTAAGCGTATGCGTGCTTTCGTGATAAATTTGAACACTCCAGTTTTATTTTAAAATACTGTACAAGGTATGTGTGCCAAGTTGGTACTGCCAACTACTTACTGGAAGTTTGCTCACCACTGACCACTAACAGTGGTGGTTGTACAGGGTCCATGACAAAAAAACCCACCGGACAAAGTCCCCTAGGACAAAAACCCCAGGACAAAATCCCCACCGGACAAAAACCCCTAGGACAAAAACTCCACCTCTAACGGACAAAAACCCCATCTCTACTGGAACCTAACCTAACCTAACCTTAAATGAAATTTGTATGTAAAATAGAAACGAGCTATCTAGCTTCCGACTGCATTCAAAGTGAATTAGTACACAAGTGAACAAGGTTTTTATACAGTTCGCCTCATGGTACCAACGTCTTTAAACAGACATGAGAGACCAAAGATTGTGAGGTCACGGGTCCCCTGAGGTCTCAAAAAGTGAGGACAGTAATGGTAAGAAAATTATTGAAAACTTTAAACAAATTCTGTTTTTTTTTTACTATGTGGGGTTTATGTCCGGTAGGGGTGTGGATTTTGTCCTAGGGGATTTTTTCCGGTGGGGTTTTTGTCCGGTGGGGATTTTGTCCGTTGGGGTTTTTGTCCGTTGGGGTTTTTGTCCGTATCCCGGTTGTACAAAGGCTCATTGATGCAACAACCACTCGGCCTTATGGAACAAAAATACTATTGTCAGTTTCCAATACCCTTAGGTTACATTCATTTTCTCCTTTAATTCTATTAGTAGCAGTATTATAACAATTATCTTAAAAGTAGCTGCAATATAATAATTATTGCAACAGTAACAGTTGTGGAAGTTATATGAATTTAGAATGCTCAGGGAAATGAATTTTAATAGCTCTAAAGTATTTTGTTAATGTTTTAACTGTTCGCACTCTTTTTATTATTATTATCGGTAAAACGGGGGAGAGTTTGATTCGCCAGTTTGTCTGACTTCATCCTCATGACACTACGTGGACGCTGCACGTAAGTTACCAGAAATTGAGCAGCGAGAGAGAAGCAGAAAGCTGTGAACTACCCTCGGCCTGAGTGAAATGGAGTGTTGCCATAACCACGGCTTTAGTTATGCATTATCTTATCTTATACCATCTTATTGGAGTTGATAATTTTAATTTAAAAGTATGTGACTAAAAAGGCGATAAAGATGTCAATATATTATTTAAAAATGTTACATCATTTCATAACAATAACAAATAAGTCAATATTGGCAGATGTGATGAGCGTCTCTGCCCACTGACCGCCGTCCTCCGGGCAAATGATGGTGGCTTTGTCTCTGTTCAAATTATCTTTATATCCTGGTGTAGGCCACGATTTTTTTTAACTCAATATTGAAATTAATCACATATATTAACCCTGCATTGAACAGTAACATTCCTTCAGGATAAAAGTTGCTGCATGCCCCTACACAACCTGCCATTCGAGGTTCCTCCTTTTCAGGAACGGCCCTTGTGGGAGCCTGTGCGAGGCTAGCCAGCTGACCAGCCTACCAAGGAGTGTGGCGTCGACTCTGACTGGGAACACTAGTTCACCGCGCTGCCCGTCTTGTGAGATACTTTTGTACTGGTGCTGTGTACGAAACTTGGAACCGCCAAAATGTATGATGTGTTTGGCTCTATCCGGGGTCTATTAAAGATAGACTCCGTGAGTATCGACAATAATATATTTCGGATGCATTACAAGGCGACAATGTTTCTTTTGGTGGCTTTTAGTTTGTTAATAACACAGAAGCAATACTTCGGTGACCCCATAGACTGTATCGTCGAAGGTGTAGACGCCTCGATCATGGATACATATTGCTGGATCCACTCGACCTTCACTATCCCGTCCCTTACTGGAGCTGTGGTAGGTGAGGAAGTTCCTCACCCTGGCGTAGCCAATACTCAAATACATGGGCCGGACGACCAATACCAGATAAAACATCACAAGTACTACCAGTGGGTCACCCTTTTTATGAACCTTCAGGTAAGCTTCTCCAGTGTGTACAGAAAGGTAGTTTGAAAAGTGTCTTAGAATTGTCTAAACTATTGAGTGCAAAGATAAAATTCTTTAGATTCCATGGTTGTGTGAAAGTAAAATTTTACCGAACGTCAAAATGGATTTCACTGGAATTAATGTGGTGCAGCGCAAGGTGGTTCGTTTGCACCTACTGGTTATTAAAAGGCTTCAGCTGTAGAAAGTCTTAACAAATGATTTCCATTTGAATCGAAGTACAAACCTGGTTTCTCGAGTCTTGTTATATTCCAGATGGCATACCGTATGTGGCTGTCGTAGAGCTGTTTTAATTGGGATTAAATGGAACGATATGGGTAGGGTATAAATGGGGGTGCCTAGTATGTGCCAATAGTATGCCCACTGCAGATTCCTCCATTCTTACGAACGTGTGCAACTCAAACCCTAAGAGCTTTTGAATGCCGCTTGGACAAAACTTACTGAAAAAAACTGCATTAACATGTGCAATAGACTGATAAGCCTGGTATATTATTTTACATATGTATATTTAGGTATGTAAATGTGCAAACGTGCATGTAATTGTTTGAGGGGATACACCCCATTTCGTCACCAACTCGGTTCGTCACCCC